ACTGATGAAGGTCTGAACTTCATTCAACAGTATTACATCAATCAAGGACTGAAGAAGTTTGGTGATGATGGAAAGGATGCTGTGGATAAGGAATTGAGACAAATGCTCCTGAGAGATTGTTTCACTCGACCGGAAGAAAGCCCAATCAGCGATGATGTTACTCGCAGAGAAGCAATTCAAAAAGACAATTGAAGGTTGCCTAGAATACCAAGGCAATGGAACTTGTGAATGGTTATCGCGAGAGGACACTGCAAGTCCAACTGCTTTGCAGGAAGCAATCACCACTACTTGTGTTATTGACGCACACGAAGGTAGAGATATAATGACGATGGATGTGCCTAACGCTTTCATACAAACTTATATGCCTGAAGCTAAGGAAGGAGAAGATTGTTTCTACATGAAAATCACTGGCATGATGGTCCAGATATTGATTGACATGGCCCCAGAGTATCGCAAATACGTTGTATTAGAGAACGGAAAGTGAGTAATCTATGTGCGGGTACTACGTGCTATATATGGGATGTTGCAATCGAGCCTCCTATTCTATAATCGGTTTCGAAATGATCTGGAGGCAAAGGGATTTGTTTTCAATCCGTATGACCAATGTGTGGCTAACAAAGTTGTTGATGAAAAACAGCAAACTATCAGGTTTCATGTTGACAATCTTATGTCCAGTCACATGGACCCAAAAGTAAATGACAAATTTGCTAAGTGGTTGAACATGAGATATGGTTCGATCAAGGCATGTACAATCGTCAGAGGAAAGATACACAGATATCTTGGAATGACTTTGGATTTCTCGGTGAAAGGAAAACTCAAGATCCGCATGGACGACTGTGTCAAGAACATGTTCAACAAGGATTCAAAACAGGAAACACCAGCTGGTAACGATTTACTGGAAGGTGGTAAAGGGAAGCTACTCAGTGCTGAGTACCGTCAGATCTTTCATACTACTGTTGCAAGGGGACTTTATGTCTCTAAGAGAGCTTGTTTGGATATCCATCCAATGATTACTATTCAGGAGAAAACGCAAAACAAAATAAACAGTGAATGAGAGCATGTCCCATTGCTGCCAATGGTGATTGTCACAATGGCAGGAGTGTGTAGGGATATGACGAAATATGAGCTTTTACGTTCCAAAAAGAAACTATTCAAGTACATAGTTTTTTGACACGTACGATCGAACTTTGATCGTGATGTGGGGATTCGACGCAAGTATGCTGGACGCAAGTCTTTCGGACAATCTATAAACAAGGGATTTTCCAAGGGAAAATTGTTGAACTTACTTGAATCATCAATTCAAGTCAAATATTAATCAAATAGGAACAATTTCACTCAAAGTATACCTAGACACAGGAGAAGTATTGTCGTGAAAGTGTTGTACAGTCAAATATGAATTTAGATTGCAGAGAGTTTGTTCTGAGCGCTAAAGGCACTCACAATAGAGCACATTTTGCTTTATTCTAACACAGAGTGTATCTCTTCAGTAAAAGCCTTTGGCTATTTGAGTAGTAACCCAATCTTCACAGAAGAGTCACGGAGAAAATTGTGGATGTCTATAGAGATGCACTTCAAAGTGCTTATTTTGGACCTTTTGACTAAGGTCTAGTTCTGTACCCAACCGAAGGAGCTTCTACAGTCCCAATCCCTTGTGCCTGTTCTATGGGCCTTCAACTCTGTACCAAACCCAACGCAACTCCGCGTCAATTTAACGCAACTGGCGTCATTCCCACGTCAAAAGAAACATCCCGCATCAAAGTTGCAGAGCATTTTAAAACGGACTAGAACCAGGAAAGACTAAGAAAGGCCTTTTGTGAAACGTCGAAATCTCATAGCGCCTTCTGACAACAATTTCCACTTACGGAGGCTTGTTGTACCCTTTCTATGATATAAAAGAGTTTCCGCTATGCGTTCAGTTCATTGGTGGCCATATTTGGTAAAGAGCATTTAGAGATTGCAATTGTGGTCGATGGAGTCGATTTCACATAGATTTTGTACCGTATCCACGTGTTTTGTTTTTGTGCAGCTAGCTCAGGAAACAGTTAAAAACCAAATTCTCAAAACAATCCAAACGAACAGATTTCGGGCGTGCGTTTTACTTTGTGGTGGGTTCCTGGACCCTGCAACACTGTCCTTCATTCGTCCGTTTTAGGGGGATTGTGTTGTTTTATTTTAGGGGGAATACTTTTACAAGCTCTAGGGGGACGGTGTAAACACGGGGATTTTATCTTTCGGCAAAATTAATTTGACTACTTTTGGATCGAGTGTGACTACTTTCAAATCGAGTTTGACTACTTTCGGATCGTGTTGTATACTTTCGAATCGAGTTTGTCTATTTTTGAAATCAACGATTCAAGTTTGTGTTAAAATCCTGAGACGGCTCCACAGGAGCAAGGCCTCTGGATTGGGCTTTGAGTCAATAAAGGTAGTTTATACGAAGTTGGTTGATAAATAATCGAATTAATAAAATTGTGAGGTTATCACTACTTGATAATACTTGGAAAGAGTTGCTGCATCGAATTTCTAAGAAAGCTAGTGAAATTCGAAGAGAGCTAGAGCATTGATCTCCAGTCGTGACTGGAGTCCCAGCTAGCGGAGTAGTGAAGGCGTCTGTGCGTCAGTACGTCTACTGAGAGCTCAATATTCCAACACTCCCTCTCGCCGAGCTATGCAGGTAGCGGGAGATGCTTACCAGCCAATTAACCATTTCCTATGTTTGATAAAGAGTTCGACAGCCAGCGGTTTTGTCAGTATATCAGCTGGTTGATCCTCAGTATCAATAGGATGAATGGTAATCTCCTTCCTTGTTACATATGACCTAAAGTGGTGCAGTTTTGTGCAGAGGTGTTTTGTCCTGGGTCTCCACTTGTGGACTTTTGCCATTTCCAATGCTCCAGTATTGTCTTCAAAGACTCTGCAATGGACTTTTGGGCGATGATCTAGGACAGGGATTCCATGCCGTTTCATTTCCTTGAGTAGGTTCATGAGGGGAATCGCTTCACGCAATGCATAACTGAGACCAGTGTATTCGCTTTCGGTAGAGCTCAAAGCGATTTCAGTTTGTAATTGACTTTTGTGAATTATTGGAACACCGGCGTACGTGATGACGTAGCCATGACGCGAGCGTGCCGTGTCTGGATCATGTCCATAGCGTTCGTTCCAGTTCCCACAAAAATCTGCATCAACATACACCTCAAATGATTTTCTCAAGTCCGGTTTGATGAACATTCCCTTATCTGCCGTGCCTAAAAGGTAACGTCCAATTCGTTTGATTGCTTCACCATGCGCTTTCCTTGGTGCTGACGAAAATCTGCTGCACTGGTGACATGCGTATGCAAGTCTTGTCCCTTTCTCCAGGTACTAGGCTATTTTCCCAATGAGTGATCGATAATTGAATTGATTGTCAAATTCCGGGGAGTCTGCTTCCTTTGAAGGATTCTGGAGTGGATCATTGGAGTGTCTCGAGAGTTCGAATTGTTGATTGGTTTGTCCTTTTGCTTGAGTCGCAAGGTCTCTAGGATCTGATTGATGAGGTGAGGCTGTGTGAGCCAAAATCCGCCATCCTTCTTCTCGATGTTTACTCCAAGAAAGTCCTTGAGATCCCCTTCAATAGTCAAGTCTAATTTTTCTTTCATCAAAGATATTGCTTCGTTGATTTCTTTCCTGTTGGGTCCTGCAATGATCGAGTCATCTGTGTACAAGATATAGATCATTTTGCCCTTGAAGAAGACGCAGTCATCCACCTTGGATTGGGCAAAGCCGCATTCTCTCAGCTTCTTGACCTTCCAAACACGTCCGGCTTGCTTTTGGCCGTATGTGTTGCGTCTCACCTTGAAACAATAATCAGCCGGGTTTGCCCCATCAAGGTCTATCCCTTTTGGAATCTGCATGTACAGCTCCCTCTCAACTGGTGCTTGGGTGAATGCCAGTACATAATCGAGCTGTACTGTGTGCCATCCAAGTGTGAGAGCGAGTGCCAAGAGGAGCTTGATGATTCCCCAGCTTGCTACAGGAGCATAGGTAAGATCGTAATCGCGATGCTTTACCATTCGGGATCCATCAATATTTAACCGAGCTTTCCATTTCTTTACTTTTCCAGTTTTGATATCGCGCTTGCGCTTCATCTGCCATACCGCAGGTAGCAAGGTCGCTCCTTTTGGTAAGTCCTTCTTTGGGATGAGTTCGATGACCTTTTGGTCTATCTGATCGCTCATCTCCTTCATCATTGCCTTTTGAAACTCCTTCCAATCAGGTTGCTTCATTGCCTGGTGCAGATACATTGTGTCTGGATCAGTTGATGCCTTCATTGCAAGGATATCATCAGGTTCCACTGGATTTGGAAACATTGCTTCCATCGCAAAGAGTTCAAAAGGTACGTCCAGATCGGCGAGCTCAGCGGTCATGACTTCGATGAGTCGCTCTGGTTGTTGTCTTTGCCTTGTTGATCTTCTGACTGATTGGTGACGATCTCCGGCAGGTGTCACTCTTGGTGACGGTGGTGCTGCCACTGGGGCAGGAGCTGGAGCTGGTTGGCCATCTCCTGTCGGAGCCTGCTCTTGCTCGAGTGTCCCTGGGGACGGGTGATCCGGAAGTTCAGATTGTTGAGGAGCTCCCTCTGAATCTTGGATCGACCGGTTCCTTGTTTCTTCAATAGGTAAGTTGAATCCGACTTGCGGTGGAACCGTTGGAGTGTCAGCCTGGGCTGCCTCCCTCTGACCATTGCGATCAGTTCCTCCTCTTTTCTCACCCTTCTTCTGTCCATCCACGAAGTAGGCCGCTTCCATCCATTTGACTTCGGGTCTCTCTTGGCGGGTGGAGTTTTTCACGGAGTGGAATTTGGAGTCCATGTATACATGGAATTCTGGTCCTACTCTTCCTGTCGTGAGGTTGAGAACCAGCGCAATACTTCTTGAGTGTTGCGGTGATGGACCCAAATAGATGCCGACCTGGGTCCTTGGCATCCATTTGCCTCCTGCAGGTCTTCTGCCTTGCTGCATATTCTTGTCCAAGACAAACACCAGGCATCCAAAGTGGTGCCAATGCTTTGGATTATTATCCACTTTGGAACCTGAAAACATCTCTTCTGGAGAGCGCTTCTTCAGATCTGCTAACCATGGTGTTGCATTGATCGAGAGATTTGCCATGCGGACTGCAAAGGGCCACAGATGAGCATTGATCGCCTCGGGCCATCTCTTTGTCGCATGAATCAACGAGGTACGTGCCATGTCCTGGATATGCTTGATCCTTGCTTCAGCTCTTCCGTTCTGATGATGTGCATTGACCCCTGCAAAGCTTATGGACTGCTTCTTCTGGTAACACGCATCAATCCACCCCTTGGCGGCAAACGTTCCGTTGTCTGCATGGTAGTGTTGGACTTGGATCCCGTAGGTTGCAGCAAGTCGCTCAAATGCTTCCTTGCCTACCAGCGTCTCGTCCACGGTTGTGCTCTTCTGGAAGTGCACATAGCTGAAGTTGGAGTATTGGTCAACATAAACGGTTGCAACTCTGTACCTTTCTTTGGTAAGAAATCCAGATGTCTGTGGGATCAAACCTGGTACTCCTGCTTCCATCATGTCAACACTAACCACTTGTCCTGGTCTTGTTGCAGTTTTTGCTTTGCGACCATTCTTCTTGTTCTTGGTGCACGGCCTTCTAGTTGCCTTTCCAAATTGGCAAGCACTGCATACAGGTACATCGCATGTTGCCAAGTATTTTGGGAGCTCACCTTTCTTTGCCATTGCTTGGATCTTGGCTGGTGAACAGTGATTGAACTTGTGGTGGTACTTGAGGAACTCAGCTGCATGATTTTGTTTTTGAGTGTCCTCCTCATTGTCCTCAATGTGTATTGGTGCTGAACATTTGCTCTTGTCCATATCGAGGTCGAAAGTCATTGGTGTTTCACGCATTGGAGGTTTGGGATCATCTTCCGATGGTTCAGATTCTCCCTCTCGATGGGAAGTTGGTGTCGTGAGTTCATCATTGTCATGCTCGTCATCACTGACCATTGTTGCCTCCATTGCTGTAGGTTCTTCAAGGTCCTCTTCAAAGAGGTCGTCCTCCTGGTTGGCTTTGGCACATTGGGCACAATAGGCGTAGAAGTTGTCATATCCTGGTGCCAAATCAAAGGTAAAAACATTTGTTTTTGGGTCAACTGCAATGGTTTTGCAATACTGACACTTGTCTCCCCATTGCAGTGTACAGAGCTTGCCTTCTGTTGTTTCAATGAACTATCCAAGGCCTCGTTTCTTGAGAACTTGGGAGATATGCTGTGGGCTCAGCAATCTCATCTTGCCTGAAGGTACATAGAATGAATTTGGGATTCGGAATGTGTGTTCCTTGCCGTCATCATCTAACCATTTCCAAACCAGTGTTCCAGCCATGACATCAATGGTCTTTCGATTTCCAAAACCCTTGATGACGTGCTGTGTTTTTCGCAGATCTTCGAAGTGGTATTCCTTGTCGGAGATGCAGAAGGAGCAGCGGTTGTCGATGCCAATTGGCAATGAATCGGTGTCAAAGCGAGCTGGATGGTGTGTCCCTCCCTCTGACTGAGTGCGGTGTGCCAATACTGAGTTGGCAATGAGTGCTCGTTGAATATCTCGTGGGATTCGAGAGCGTTGGATGCGAGACATCCACTTGTAAGACAGCCACTGATAGCTAGACTTGCGAGTCCAGAGCTGTCGGTAGAGCTTAATTCGGGTACGTAAGTTTTTGGAGGTACGTTTCCTAACCTCTTTATTCCATTTTCTTCCTGTGAGTCCAAACTGCTTGGCTAGTTGGACCCACCTGTATCTGACCCACTTTCTCATCCATGCATACCGTGTCCAACTTTGAGATTTGGGAACATAGTATGGCACAGAGTCATCACGGGGCCATCCAAAAAGAACAACACGAAGTGTTACAGCTGTGGCAAGGAGGTATAGCGGGAGGCGTTTCCACCAACCAGCGATCCACTGAGACAGCAGACCCCACCAAAGCCACGGCCAAACAACAATCCACCCTTGAGTGCTCTCGAGGAGCTCTCATTCTTCATTGGTATCGGAGTCGGACGGGGCGTAATTCTCAGCCATGGCGGCTCTGAGCTTGATCTTGTTCTTTTTGTTGTCTTTGTTTTGGTCTTGGTTGCATTGATCCAGAGTGTGGCGGCAGTATTTCTTGAGAGCTTCGCACCAATACCATGGCTTGGAGTCACCGTCGACATACTTTGCTTTAAGTTTGTCTTCTGCTTTTGGTGCAGTGGTCTTCCATGCAGGTACGTTCGAAGATTTTTGCTTATTGTTGTTCTTGCCCTTGCCTTTATTCTTACCACCTCTGGACTTCTTGTCATTGTCCTTCTTCTTTCCGCTTTCAGGCTTCTTGGAGTTTTTGATTTGCTTGAACTCGGCCTTCAGCGAGAGGATAGCTTGTTGATTTTCATCAGGGCGATTCCAGGTTTGGTCCCGAACACGATTCTTGTAATAGTTTTCAGCGTCCTGCATGAGCCTGGGTTCGTTGGTACCCTTCAAACAGGTGGATCAGTACATCCTTGGACTCCTCCCCATAGTGGGCAAGGTTCTCAAGTTGCTCGGAAACGTGAAGATTGAACTTTTCAACGTTTGATCCAACCTTGGTCATATACTCGGGAAGTTTTGCAAGTTGACGTCGGATGTGATTCACATTGGAGTTGCTAGCGGGAGTTGTCCGCAGAAGGACCACCTTCAGATAAGCCAATCCGCCTCTCATTCCATTGATGGTGAAGAGATTTTTGTCCCGTAAGACCTTAGCTTGGGCAGATTCCGTGAGCGACTTGTAGATGCAGAGCTGCAGGTGGAGAGAGCTTTGCTTGCTGCGACTGTCAGCTTGAACAAGGTAGGCTTGCTCATGGCGTCGAACATTGTCAATAGAGATCTGTCCATGGAGTTGCAGGAAGTCGTCAGTGGCGTTGTTTCTTGTGGAGTTTTGAACCTGGAAGATGATGGTCCATCCCGCCTCAAGGGATCTAGTTTGGATTCTCTCGATAAAATTTAGTAGTCTTGCTGGTTGCAAATCAAACTTGTCTTCACCACTAGAGTAGAGCGAATCGACTGCCTTTGAGTACTGTTTGATGCCGTAGGAAGTTCCAATGTCGATAGGAGTAGTTCCTGAAGTCGATGGAAAAGCTCCATACTGAGGAGTATGTGTAGTCGGATTGGTCGCACTCGGATTGGTCGCATTTGCGATGAGCTGACCTAGTAGATGCATTCCTTGCGGATGAGCCAGTAGCTGCCCTAGTAGATTTGCAGCATTGTTGGTTCCGCCTTGCGGTTGACCTTGTTGCTGACCTTGTTGTTGACCTTGTTGATTGAATGGGTTTGCCGCGATGGCTGCTGCTGCGATCAGGTTGTTTAGGAGATCGGGAACCGGAGGGTTGGCCTGTTGTCCGCCTTGTTGATTGGCTTGCGCGGCTTCATCAGCATTGCCTGCTGGCGCAGGTTGTTGTTGGTTTTCCTCCACAACTTCTGGGTCTGGGTCGTTGCCTCCCTGAGGAGGATTGTCAGCCATGTTCTGAACTTGGTTGTTTCTTCGACGGCGACGAGGGATGTACGGATCTTGATTCAGTGGGCCGTTTCGAGTACTTTGTACCATGCAATGGGCCCTTTAGACTCGCAGAGGGAGCGTGTTAAAATCCTGAGACGGCTCCACAGGAGCAAGGCCTCTGGATTGGGCTTTGAGTCAATAAAGGTAGTTTATACGAAGTTGGTTGATAAATAATCGAATTAATAAAATTGTGAGGTTATCACTACTTGATAATACTTGGAAAGAGTTGCTGCATCGAATTTCTAAGAAAGCTAGTGAAATTCGAAGAGAGCTAGAGCATTGATCTCCAGTCGTGACTGGAGTCCCAGCTAGCGGAGTAGTGAAGGCGTCTGTGCGTCAGTACGTATACTGAGAGCTCAATATTCCAACAAGTTTGCCTATTTTCGAACTACTTTCGATTCAACGATTTGAGTTTGCCTACTTTCATTTTGAAGTTGCACAGTTTTGGATTTTTTGAATTGTTAAGACTGGGAGGAGCTATTAATATATTATGGAGGATGAAGAGCCGCCCATCAACCACATCCTCACTCCATCGGAGATGATGAATATTGCCCTTCGCCATAGGGGATACACTGTGAGGCGAATCAAACGTGCCAAGGGGAAGACGAATGCCTTCAGCTTCAAGCACAACTTTGGAGTCTCTCCATGCACTGCAGTTTGGGTCTACACTGACATGCAACTAACCAACATTGCAGACGCAAAGATCAAAGGAGGAGAGGAAGATCTCAAGTATTTTTTAATGGGTCGTTACTACCTTCGAACGTACCCAACAGAAGAGGACCTGTCGGCGACGATCAATTTCTTAGCAGGTTGGGCAAGGACGAAAACATGGGCTGCGATCGCGAAGATCCGGATGTTGAAGAAATTCTCTTTTCTAAAGGGTAAGAGATGGGTGATGTCGGTGGATGGGATACACTGCTGGATCAATGAGCCCTCTCATCCGGAGCGGGGTCATCAAGGTCCGCGCTACTATACTCCCACAAATACAACAAAGCCGGTCTCGACTATGAATTGGGAATTTCGCTAGTCGACAATCGGCTGTTGTGGATCCGTGGTCCCTTTCCAGCGGAGACAAATGATATTACTGTGCTGAGGGAAGAAGGGCTGCTTGCGGAACTCAAGCGACGAAAACAATCCGCCATTTGCGATAAAGGCTACAATGGTGAACCTAACAACGTCAGTACATGCAACTCGCACGATAATGCTGGAGCCAAGCTCTTCAAGAGCCGAGCACTCAAGGGACATGAAATCTTTAACAATTTGTTGAAGCAAAACAACATTTTGGATACCCGTTTCCGTCACAACGAAACAAAGTTCAGGGACGCGTTTGAAGCTCGTTGCGTTCTGGCACAATATCGCATCTAAGGGGAGATTCCACTCTACGATATTTTAATTGAAGATGTTGTAGATAGATATAACGAAGATAGACAAGAGTTCTAGATCAACTTACAAACTCATCGTACGCTAATGACTCGAGTCTGTCCTAATGTGAAGGAGCTAAGTATTTACAAAGAATACTATCAAAAGCGCCCATGCATGAATATTTAAACCCCCTTAGTTTATTAGAATCTACAACCTGTGTATTCCAAAACATGTCTGCAGCTCTGGTGCTCCTGTTCTCGTTGCATTCATGAACTTCATTTATGGCTGTTTGCGCAAAGCGAAGGCCCTCACCGTCTCCACGAAGCACCTGCCATTGAACGTAATCATCGTTCTTGAAGTACCCAGTTTGACGAGGAGGCGCAACTTCAGTAAGAGCGCCGATGGGTGCCATTGGAAGAATCTTCTGGCGACGGTCATCTTCGTGCATATCGAGGCCATCGATAGATAGTACAGTCTCTGGAAGGAATACGAGAGAGTAATGGGCGAAGATGTTTTCATCATCAAAGTTATCCATCACTTCGGCATTGCTGTGATTGATTGCCATTTGCCTTGAAGACCTAGCATGACCGTGAATCCAAAGCTTATTGTCGTCATCAAATTAAATAACATCTTTCTTCAAATCCTCAACTAAGATCCTTTGCGCCTTTGAATGACGCCACTCGATATTCGGCTATTGGTTCACCAGGTCCTCCAAAAAGGAGCATGTGGTCGCCTTCTTTTATGATCGTTACGTAGCGATAGTTCGCCCACATGAGCGTTCTTTCTTGTTCCCTCGAGTCCCCCTCGTAGTAGAAGCGATAGATCTTCTTGCACCTGCCGTCACTCACTTCCTCTTGAAGAATGACCGTGCTTCGATGCTTTGGACCAGGCACAGGTTGGACCCTGGTCCAGGCTGATTTGACGTACTCTCTACAGACCGTTGGTCATCCGGCCAGACCTCCAACGATTTGCCTAGATCGAAATTTATTTTGCCTACTTCCAAGGCAGATTGTTTAGTTTCAAATTTCGATATTTATTTTGCCTACTTTTCAAATTTCGATATTTATTTTGCCTACTTTCGACGACAGATTGTCTATTTTCAAATTTCGTTATTTATTTTGCCTATTTTCAGATCACCTTGTATATTTTAAAATTTACATTGCCTACTTTCGGATCGACTTTGCCCGTTGGAACAACGCCTTGGATGCCGATCGGTAGCACCAGTCAAGTGACTACCCTGTCTAGTCTAAGAACAGATAAGATCAAGCACCGTAGGTGTGCTATAAATTACTTTCGTCTTTATTGATTTTCGGAAGACAATGAGAATTGCATGTACTGCAGATCTTCTCGTCTTCCGAACTTACTACTATTTCTTAGACTTTCCATTTGTACATTTGTACTTGGGAATATACTGTCGTATATTCCTCGTTAATCCAGTATATTACATTCTCCACTCCACCTGATGAATCAGTGGTCGTATCCATTGCAGTCATGATTTCAACTCGTGACTGATGAGTCATGAGGCGTGATCATCATGCTCCAACGCACTCCTGCGGCCCGAGTCATCAGTTGGATTGGCCTGAGTAATTCATGATTAGATCTCTGAACTTTCGGAACAGTGCTCCCTGTAGAGGTTTCGTCAAAAAATCTCCCAACATCTCTGCAGTGGGGCAATGTTTGATTGTCATGAGCTTCTGGGCAACCTTGTCGGTAATAGAGAAATACCTGACGTCCAATGCCCTTGTCTTGCGGCCGCATGGCTTCCTTCCATTCTTCTCGAGCAAGATGGCGCTTTGATTATCTTGGTGAATAACGTTGTCCACCACCGTATGGCCTTGAGATGCGATGAAATATCTGGACCACATGATCATAGGTAGTGCATCATGTACCCCGACTAGTTCGGCCACTGTAGAGCTGTCCGTGTTGATCTTTTGCTTGGTAGAGATGGCAATGATGGCTCCCTTGCCCATGGTTAAAACTGCTCCGGTGTGGCTCTTCATGTCATTGTGCACTGCGAATGACGCGTCTACCCACCATTGCATGATGAATTCGTCTCCCAATTCAATGGTAAGAGGCATATATTTGGTCGCTCTCAGGTACTTGATACATCTCGCGAGCTTGGCATAGTCGTCCTCATCAGGTCTCGAAACTCTAGTCGTGAGGAAAGCCACTGCGGTCATGATGTCTCCTCGTACTCGCTTGCATAGATACAGCAGCTTGGCGGTAAGGTGGTGGTAGAGTTCAGCCTTCTTGTCATCTAGCAACGTAGGCTTGTCCTTGACTTGGAATAAATGATTCGCGGCCGGTGATGTTGCTACCCCCTTCATATCCTCTGGTGCCTCTTCCAGTAGACGATCCACATAGTCGTCCATCGAAAACTTCACCTTCCCTTTCTCGCTGAAATCAATTGTAACTCCAAGATATTCATGCACTTCTCCTCTTTGGATAGTGAGGGGCGCTTCCTTGCCATACCGTTCGCTTAGCTTGTCGGCCAAATCATCAAGTACCTCTTGCTCGACATGTGAGATTTTCAAATCATCAACATGCCAGATAATGGTACACTGTTTACCGTTGATTGTCTTATTGACCACGCAGCTGTCGTATGGGTTCGCTTCGTATCCCAATTCATTAATGAGGAACTCGGAAAGATTTTTCCACCATTGAATGGCTCCTTTTAAGGTCCCATACAAGTTCTTGTTCAGCTGAGCGTAGATCACTGGCTTCTTTCCTTCATACGCCACGTATTTTGTATACAAGCTCGGATCAACCTTGGTTAGCAGGTTGGCTATCTCGCCTTCAAACTTCACATGGACAACGTCGTCGATGTCTGCCTGCATAAAGGCTCCGGGAATGTCAATTGTCATCACCTTTCGCCCTTCTTTGGCATCAATGGCGCATGTGATGATGAATGATTCGGTTCTCACTGTAGGGGCTGAAGCATCTTCCTTTGGCGTGTACAGTCGCTGGCTCCTTCCATCAGCGCAACCTCTAGCTTTTATTTTCCCGCATCGCTTCTCCTTCAGGAACATCAAATATCTCAGCGCATCCCTTCTCTGTTGCTTGGTGAGTTCGTGCGCGAATTTTGGTGACAGGACGTTCCTATAGTGGATTTGGTGCATCTCGGCCACTACCGCTTCTGCTCCCTTGTCTCCGAATACCTTTAGTCCTTTCTTCGCTGACATTTGCTCTGTCAGGAATGACACCTCATGGTTGAAGAGTGCTATCATTTCTTGGTATGCTGGGACTGGTTCGTCTCGGTGTGGGACGTGTATCATCACTTGATGGTCCCCATGTGTAGTTGGCCTCTTCCTAGGGCGCAAGTTTCTACCGTGATTTCTGGGGCCGTATGCAGCATCCATTTCGACCTCGATCTGTTGTTGATTGTTTGGGAGAAGTTGCTCTCTCTGCTGTATGTCGCGTTGCACTTCCTCTGCCAATGCGTCGATTCGATCGTTCAGGTCCGCATCGGCGGCTGCTTGTGCCCGTGCTTCCTCATCCTCTTCATCTTCTGATTCCACTCCTGCGTTTTCGCCGCCCACTCCTGTGTTTCCGGCATCCACTCCTGTGTTTGCACCGCCCACTCCTGTGTTTCCGGTGTTTTCATCTGGGAATTGTGGCTGATGTTGCTGGAGTTGATGCTGTTGTGGCTCCACTGCCACCTGATGTGGTGGCTGGGGGAATTGTGGCTGATGTTGCTGGAGTTGATGCTGTTGTGGCTCCACTGCCACCTGATGTGGTGGCTGGATCACTCCTGCGGGCAATCCAGCAGTAGCTGGTGGTTGGCCGGTTGGTGGAGCTTCAGCTGCATAATCATTACCAGTAGTTTCATCATCATCATCACTATCGTCATCATAATCAGCGTCAGAGCCCGGATCGGAGTCGTCGGAATCGTCAGAATCGCTGTGGCTGTCGTTGTCGTAGCTGAGGTCGTCTTCACTGTCAGAGGCGCTTGAGTAACTGTAGGTAGAGTCATGGTCGTCATCGATGTCATCATCATCGTCTATCAGTTCTCTTCCATGTCTGTCTGCGAATGTGAGTGTCAAAGGCATGCCTTGTTGTTGCCCTTTCTGGCTGACTTCATCAATCACTTCAGTTGGCATTGGGAGAGTGGTCCAGTGTTGTCTGGAGATTCGCTTGCCAGTAGCAACACTCATGAAATAGTGGGAGCCTTGAGCAGCGCCGGTTGGTCCAAGACAGATAGCTCCCAAGGTGCGGGAGCGCATGTCATTGGAGTGCTCCTCATGTGTTTGGACATACGCCCCAAATTCGGTTCGGACATGATGTTTCATGGTGACCTGGCGACCGGTGACGATGTATCGAGGTGACAGATTGTTGGATACTCCATCTAGAGCTGGGAAGGCATTGAGCCAGAAGACTGCATTGCGGATCAAATATTCAAGGATCAGTTTGGGAATGCGGCGGAAGGGGAGCATGTTGTAGTTGCTGCGGACCCTGTCCTTTATGGTGCGAATGAACCGTTCAATGGTAGGTTCATGTTCATCAGCGCCACAGCAGTCCACTTGAATATTGGGGAATTCTTGCTCGAGGGGTTCAAATTCGGGATCGCCCAGAATGGAAATGACCTTGAAGTTGCGTCGCGAATAGAGCGCAATGACCTTTTGTAGAGCTCTTTTGATGGTGGGAATTTGCCTGTTGTGAAGGCGCTCGACTGTCCCGAATTTGATGTGGCGGGAGATGGTCACCAAAAAAGGCATTTTGTTGACAAACAATATGTCAATTGCCAACGTGATATCCGAATAGTGCTCCTTGATGTGTGGTGGAATAGCGCCAATCTCTGTGCGTACATGACCGTCCGTAGTGGATGTCGTTTTACCTTTAAGCGATCCCAAGTTGGGGCCATATATGTTGGTGGCCGTTTTGATATCTTCGGACGTGACTGGGCAATCGCGCAGTAGATTGTTGTTTACAATGTCCGTGAATCTTCGGTCTCCAGGTCGTCCAATAATATTTTGAATGTGGCGAGCCTTGGCTGCACGGATCACTGATGCCTTGGTGTGCTTGGCCTTTTGCCCTTTCACAGTCTCGAAGAAATTCCAAGCCGAGTTCAGTTGGTCCTTCAGATCCATGTGGTATAACCCCTTGTCAGTGGGGAGAAACTCTATTTTTTCGTTTTTGAAATCAACAATGAATCGGTCGGTTGCGGCATTGTCGTATGTGATGTTGCAGTGTTTGTTCATGTTGTGGAAGGAAAAAATGTTGGCTATTCCTTTTGGGTTGAACCACACCGCCTCCGGATAATCTCCAAAAAACCCTTTCATGTTCAATTCAACGACTCCTGCATTGCAGCGCACCCTTAATCCTTTCTTGACCTTGTGGATTTTGCGTAATAGCGATCTATTGCAGAAGATGTTTGCCGTGGATCCGGTGTCAAGGATCAACCAGGTGACCGGAAATCCTGATGTTGGGTGCCTCTTGAGGATGAGCTGTGCGTGCATGTTGTCTGATTGAAGGAAGAGCAGCTCCGTAGCTGTCACATCTTCATCTATCGCGTCGCTCGCGATGAAAGCCTCCGCATCGTTGCTCGAATCGGCTAGATTATCTAAAGGATTCAAATACTCTCCAGAACCAGTGTTATTGTTATCAGTATCTGCGTCGTTGTTGTTGATGTGGGCGTGGTCGTCTTGATGATCTTCAGGTTGGTTTCGCTCAAATCGTCCGCGACCGCCGCGACCGCCACGTCCTCCATTTCCACGACCTCCAGTACCGTTTCTACGTGGATTTTCGCGCCTGCCGGCTCCGTTCTGATCGGATGGCTGGCCCTCAGTGAAAAAAGATGCTCCACCTCCCACATCGGAGGTTCGGACAACACTCTGCGTGATTTGAAGCTGTTGCCCATTGTTCAACAGCTCCAAAGCTCCTGCCATGGTCGTTGGGAAAGTTGAGGCTCCGTTATGCAACAATCGAGCGTTGGTAGCTTGCGCGATCAAGTTGCCATATCGCTTCTTGTCAGCGCCCATGAGAAATGCCATTGCCATTTCTCGCTCCATCACCTTTGCTTCGAGTTTCTTCATTTCATCAAGGGTGCTGTTGACTTTTGCTTCTCTGCATGCGTCCTCCAATGCGGCAATCGATGCTCCCAGTGCTCCCTTGCAGTACTTGACCACGTTCACATGATGCATGAAGCGCGAATAGTACTCGGCGTTCGTCATCTTGCTGCCCTGGATACAACTGTAAAATCTCTGCTGGGCCTGGTACTTCGACATAGCCGGATCGACGTTGGTGGCTCCTCCTGTGGCTGTGAGATGTTGGAAGATCCGAAGCAACCCCATGGTGTCCATGTTGGATTGAACCTTATTCCATTCATGGTGCTCTTGGGCGGCGTTTTGAAACTGTTCAGTGCATTGACGCATCAATAAACCGAAGAAGGCTCCTTCGTTTGCCTCTCTATCCTTTTGCTTCCTTTTGAAGTCCTTGTATTCCCCTTCCCATTTGGCGAAGAGGACCCTGTTGTCTGGGTCGCTTGGGTCCGCAGGTTCCGTGATGGATGGGAGCGTGAATTCTCCTGTCAGGCCCACGATCACATATTCAGTTGCGCTTGATCTTTCCCCGGCAAAGTACTATTTTCGATTCGACCCCAAAGTAGAACCAGGGATCCCCTGAACTGAACCAAAAGATTATGGGGGAACAATAATTAAAAAATATCCCCCAGAGAGACGGATGATGCGCAGACGCAGAGTGTCGGGGGGTCCTGCCCGATTGCGCCAAATCACACCATTGACCATCCTGTTGAAATGAATATAGGAAGAAGTTCGTATCGAACGGTTGCATCAATTATCTGCTTCAGCGCTTACTATTGGAGGATCTACATTACTTTGGGGTTGGTCATTGATAATGACAATTTACCAACCCATTATATGAGCACTAAAGCTTTTTGCACCACAATAAGCGATGATGATGACAAACACAGTGAATCCTTCTGCAAGACTTTTCATAACTCGCAAGTATTTAAGAAGACTGAAATAAACCAATCGTGTGGCGATAAAAAGTACTTGCAGTATTACGCTTCCGGTGGGCTGGCAAATCAGGTCAATTGCTTGGTTCTGGGTTACTGGTTTGCCGTCGTTACAGGTCGAGTCCTCATCGTTCCTCCGAAAATACCTCGCAATCCAGCTCGCCAGCTAGAATGCAGTTTCCTTCCTTCACCGGATTCTACTGATCCATTTATTGGCAATCTACTCAACAGCAGTGAATTGTTAAGAATCATGTATGCTGAACAGAAACCCACACGAGAAATGATTGATCGGTTGCGGTGCCGTTATACGGAGGAGATAATGAACTACACGATGCCTTTTTTCAATTACACCAGAGAGGACCTTCTTCCCTTCGAGAAGGTACTTGATCTGGACTACATTCTTCCGAGGATAGAGAAAATAAATCTTCATGATTTTTATATCAACCATTGGAGAGACAACATGACAGACTGGGTTCTGTCCTATAATCGCTTCGACACAATTTTTATTAAGAATCAGACGCAGCTCGAAAATAAGACCAACACGAAAAAAGGGAGAACGAAGACATACCGTGATCTTTCAAAGATCGGAAGAAAATATGATAAGTTTGATGTTTGGACAATTTACGACACAATGCAACTTGGTCGTTCCGCTGTGCATTCGAGTCTTTTTGACTATCACATGAGTTTTTTCAAGTATAAAATGCGCTACAGCGAGACAGTTCGACTGGCCGCACGGACGGCACATGTGAAGTTTGATTGCATCCCCTATGTTTCAGTTCATATCAGAGCAACCGAACCGTCATTTGATTGGCTGCTTCCAAAAACGCTTTCATCTTCAATGGATAATGCGGTGGATGCGACCACGAACTGGCTAGATAGTATTGAGGAAATGCCCGCAAGGATAGGTCTTTTTATTTTGACGGACTGGGCGCCATTGTTTGAGCATCCACTTTTTCAAGAAACACTGTTGCTGATGAAGAGGCGTCTCGGAAAGACTAAGCTTGTCCTACTAACAGAAGCTGGTAACAGTGCCACTGGATACATGGACATTGCACTTGAATTAGGCAAATCGTTGGGAATTAAACATGGAGAAGCACACATGATTCTAGCACAGCAGATAGCTGCTTGTGGTAGAATTGGTTTTTTTGGCACCCCACGGTCCACGTTTTCATTTTTGATCGAAAACATCCGCAACTCCCCGTGTGCATGTTGATGAAATGATTCCCAAGGCAACTATGTCGATACAATAACAGTACACGTACTGTATTCCATACAATGATTCTAGTGTTGGCGTACGTGGTAGAAACGGCCCAAAGAATAGGCCCAAGGTATTGGACTCGAGAAGCTCCTTCGCTTGAGTACAGAACTAGACCTTAGTCATCAGGTCCATGTAAAGATTCTCTCTTTAACTCTTCTGTAAAGGTTGGATTACTATTCGAATAGCCAGAGGCTTTTACGGAAGAGATATACTCTGCAGAGTTACCTCAAACTACTAGTGTTGCATTTGCTACGCATTTGACTTAGTTTCATGTTGATTGAACCACTAGAAATGAAGATAAAGCATTATGACCGCTATTGCAACAAACTTGCCGTTCATACGGAAATCGTATTCAATCTTCCTGAAGAAAGTGGTGATGAAAGCAAGGCAAAAGTTCTACTTCACCTTGGCAAGAACAAAAATCTCAAGCCTATCATCCTTGCATGATGTTGATTGCATTTTACAATGGTTGTTCTTAATGGACCATTCCAGGCAATGGTGTGCGGATTGATGATCTCAGGTTCACTCTCTTTCATCAGCTACTGAAGACATGCTAATTGGTGTCAATAAGCTTGACAAGCCACTACTACTACAAGTCCATGGACAAGAAAATTTGTCATGGCATCATGCAATTGAGTCCTACCATCATGAGACCAAGATTCCGTAGTTTTGATTGGATTTAATCATGATGTCAGGATTTGACGCAAGACTGCCAAACAACGACTATTGTTGCGGAAGTGTTGTACAGTCAATTTAAAAAAATATTTTGTACAGAGTTTGTTCTGAGCACTATAGGCACAAGATGGAGCAGAGTCTGCTTATTTCTAACACTTTGCGTCTTCTTTGTTTGCTGCATGCAGTCATGCCCCAATCTGAAGAACCTCCTATTCCCATGCCAAATGAGGTCCATATAGGAATGACACAATTGAGTTTTACCATCATGGGACCAAGATTCCGTTACATTCAAAAAGAAAAATAGTCTGAACTCTTGTTGTTGAAATTGCTCTCTTGGAGACCATTCATTCGAAACTCCTTGATAGACATGTCCGATCGGACAGACAGACAAATGTCTGTTTGGTCCGTTTATTTGGGGGATTCCTATGAGTCGTTTTTTTTGCAGGGAATCTGAAAACATGGAATTGTGTGCTCGGACCATCAAACCTACCGTTTTGGTGTGCCTGTCCATTGGCAACATGGGTGTGTACAAGGGTGCAGCTCATGTGATGTTCCAGCTGAATATCACACTTTTGGACATCTCTCCTACTCTGATCTTCAGAGTTAGGAGCATGTTGAAATTGCTCTCTTGGAGACCATTCACCTTGATGGAAGCAGTTCGACACATACGATCGGACAGACGGGCAAATGTCCGTTTGGTCCGTTTATTCGGGGGATTTCTATGAGTCGGTTTTTGCAGGGAATCCGAAAACATGGAATTGTGCACTTGGACCATCAAAACGTCTGAGCGCCACGAAAATCCCATACTGAATCCTGCAGGAGTTCTGTATGTGGGTTTTGTACCGGCCTTTCTAGATAGCAAACATCCAGTAAAGGTTTGGGAAATTTGAGTTTTTGTGCAAGGCTTTTGCTTTGCCCATTCCATGTAGATAACAAGTCTTTTACAATATTTATTTCCTGTAGAGATGATTATTTTGTATTAGACGGATCTGAGATCGCTATGGTTAGTGCCTCTGCATGACAACCTGATGGTCGCATGCAGGCATGGCTGGTTGGCAATGAAGGCTTCATGGGCCGCAAAGTTGTCAATCGGTTTGGACGAAGACAAGCCTGTTGCTTGTCTGATGTCCGCCAGAACCGAAATCTAACTTTATCTACATGAAAAAAAGGGTGGGGAAAATGGTAAGCATTTCACAGCGGTTGTATGAGCTGATTGTTGTATTTCCACCGCTCCCACCGTGTCTTTCTTCTTCCCATTGCACTTGCAAAAGTGTGACGCGCCAAGAGCCAAGAAGGGCCAAGAGCCGACAGTCGCCATGGAACTGACCCACAGAGGCGGTCTTTCCTCAACGCAAGAAGCTTGGACGAAAGAAGGAGCGGTTGCAGCGCTGGATCCAACATCAGCCGCACTATGGAGACCTTTCCGTTTTTCTCGCCCAAGGCGGCAGCTGGAGAGATTGGTTTTTACAATTTCAAGTCCAGTTGTCGTTGGTCGTGTGGGGGAGTGATGGAGCTCGAAGGCAAGGTGAATTGTTGTTTTGTGGAATTTCAAGGAGGCTGTTTTTGGCGTGGAGTTGGAGGCCCATCTCCTGTTCTTGGCCTCCCTCCATCAAGCTACAATCATCCTTTTGTTTTTCAAGTGTGCTGGGGCCTGGACATTTGGCGTTGCGACTGGAAGTTTCATGTGGAAACTCAGGAGCGCCATGCCACAAACCGTCCCCCCCTTTGTCCACAAGTGATCTTCAGTGGCACCACCACCTCCATGTTTGTAGGAAAAACAGGAGCGCCATCCAAGATCACTAACTGCACACACACACGCACCAGTCCACCATTTGATGTGCCTGTCCTTTAGCAATATGGGGGTGCGCAGGGGTGCAGCTCATGTGATGTTCCAGCTGAACATCACGCTTTTGGACATCTCTCCTACTCTGATCTTCAGAGTTAGGAGCGTGTTGAAATTGTTCTCTTGGAGACCATTCATTGGACACTCCTTGTAGTCATCCTTGCTAAAACTCAAAACATAGAATAGCCCAAATTTCTTGCCTTGGCCACTTGTATTGCCGTTGGCAAAGTTATCATTCTCTTTAGACTGGACTTCTTTTGGATAACGCATAGGAAACTATTTTTCTATAAAGATTTAATTAATTGTAGCTCCTACTATTGATATGTTGAAATATGTCATATTGCAGATCACGTTTATTACGTGCTATGTACAAGAGGGCTATGTTCTTGTATGGAGTGTGATAGTTGATTGACAGCTCAGCTGGAGGTGCTCTAATTGTCACAACTTAAATGCTTCCCAGTGCCTGCAATTGCAATTACCTTTCGAGAAACACCCTTTGCAATGAATCATAAATTCAAGACAAACATTTCTCACATGGGAA